AAGAGCCACAGGAGGCTTCAGGCTTTCAGAAACTACTGTGTTCGTCTGGGTTTGAGGTGATGGAAACTTAACTGGGAAACGTGTGTGTGTGTGTGTCTGTGTGTGTGTGTGTGTCTGTGTGTGTCTGTGTGTGTGTCTGTGTGTAAGGAAAAAGTCCTAACTAATGAATGATAATTACTAAGGAAGAGTTCTGATGACTGCAAAGCTGTTGACATCCTTGACCAAAATAGTGAAATCTGGCCCTGAAGTGATTTGGCGGTGACAGGAGGATGGAGCAGCTGTCTCTTTAGAAAGAAAGGCCTTCTTTCTGCTGTCATAATTCCTAGCCTTTCAGCCTCTTATTTCAAAGCCGCTTACCATTTGCCTTTTTTCTCTGGGACTGTTTGATAGGACTCTGATTTCACTCTGGGAATGACATTACCACTCACAGATGTGAAAACCAACAGCTTGTGTGAAGGGAGAATCCTAGACAGTTGGAAGCAGTCACTCCTGTGGGTCCCCATGGCCTGCTTCTGGTTATTGATAACTGATGGTTCTGCCATCCCTGGTTCTAGCAGCCGAGGAGGCTCTCATCCTCTTATATTCTCGTGCCTTTTTGCTACAGCTACCAGTGAGTGGTGTCCCAGATGCCAGTCCCTTAGCCTTCATTTCTAGATATCTCCAAGGGTTTCTTCAGCCATTCCTGAACATAGTTCTGCCAACCTTTGTGGAAGAAAATGGAGATGATCAAGGACCCAGAAGTTTAGCTAGTTTCTTTAAACACCATCAACCTAATGTGGAACTTAGCCACTCTCTCCTTTCTTCTTTCTCTTTCTCTCTTTCTCCCTTCTCCATCTCTTCCACATTTATCCTCTTGTTTTTTTCTTTGCATCCTAGCCTTCCTATTATTGCTTTAGCTTTCTCTTATCTCTTCCTTTTTTCCTTCATGCAACAAAAATTTTTTACCAGCAGGACCTGTGCTAAGTGTTGGAAGTACACAGATGAAGAAAATACAAGCTCCATCTTTAAGCAAGTTCAAGTATTTCTAAGGAAGATATAAAATAGTAGAAATAAGACCAGGATATATAATGGTAACTCATTGGGCACGTTTATTCCAATTAGAAACAAGCCAGAACACAAAAAGTTTCTGTAAGGAAATTTTGCCACAACAGAATTTGAATTTTACCCTAGTATACATATTTGTGAGTATGACTGAGAAGAAGATATCTCGAGCAGAAGGGGCCTAAGCAAACACATATGGAGTAAGAGAAACCCCTTGCTATATAGACAAAAAATATAAAGTAATGGTATTGGAATGGAAAATGGCAGTAGATGAGCTGTACCAGAAAGAAGGATCCTTGTATGCCACTTTAATCTCTTGGTCTTTGTCCAGTAGTGGACGGAAGGTCACCAAAACCATCTAGAAGAGAGAGCAGAAGAATGGTCATATATGTTTCTTTCTAAGACAGTCTCACTGTGCAGCCCTGAGTGGTCTGAAACACATTCTGCAGACTTTGTTGGTCTGAAACTCATAGAGATCGGTCTGCTTTCACCCCCAAGTTGCTAGGACTAAAGGCATGTGCTACCATACCTGGCATCATGTATGTTTTGGGGAATGCAGGTCACTATTCCTTTCCAGCAGTGTGAAGGCTGAGTTACGCAAGAACACCATCACACCAGGGGAACTAAGTTGTTATTGCCATCTAAGTGAAAGATGATGGTGGCTTAAATCAGAACAGGAAAAGGTATGATTAAGTTAAGAAAGCAATCAGGTGATAGAATCTGTAGGTCTTTGTGATGAATTGGCTATAAATGATATGATATGTGTGATGGAGATATCAAGAATAACACTCTACTCTTTTGCTATGCAGATAGGAATACTAATAAAACTAATGAAATATTCTTGAGAATAGTGGTGTCATCAACCATGACAAAGGACTCAGGAAAGAATACAAGAGCAGAAGAACATGGATAATTTCTTAGGGTTGTGTGAGTTGAAGATGCCTAGCAACGTACAATAGGAGATGCCTAGCAGCGATATTGAGAGTTTAAGACTCTGGAGAGCTTTAAACTTAAGGGTCTGTGCTAAAGGTTTATAGGGTTTTGATTTGAGATTATATAGACATATCTGTCACAGCCTGCTAGGATCATAGCATCCCTATGAGAATTACTGCACCCGATCTGCTGCCTGCTGCCCATACAGTCATGGGTTGCTCTTTAATACATTCTACCTACTCCTTCTACTTGCCTTTGTTTCAACTAATAAGAGCTTGCCTGTGCGCAGTTCAAAGACTGAGGTATATAAGAGAAGATGTACCTGGAATTTTGAAAGTTGACAGATGAGCTGGACCAGTTAGAATCCTCTCATGGGTTTGAACTAAGAACTGCAGAAATAGCAGATTATTTACCACTGGAGTTGAAGTTGGAAGATTTGAAAAGTAAGACATGGGCAGGTGAGGCCCTTTGAAGCATAAGTAAGAAGGTGATACAAACCATGGGTAAACTCAGGGATGGGGGTGGTAAAAAGAGAAGACTGGAGACTGGAGATAAAGATACAAAGCAAGACCAAGAGGCGACTACACTGTAAAAAAGACAGAGGAATTTTCCAATCATGAAAGCGGCTCCACTACCTGATAGAACTGCCACCTCTGTGTGGCCTGTTTGAAGGCCAGCCATCTGAGGATAACATAAGTGATGGTATTTGCTTTTCCAAACAAAAGAATTGCCAGAACGAGATCACTCAGGAAGAAACAAGAATGAAATAAAAGCAGTAGACTGAAATCAGCAGCAGTTTCTTTCTCTCTCTCTCTCTCTCTCTCTCTCTCTCTCTCTCTCTCTCTCTCTCTCTCCCTCTCTCTCTCCCTCCCTCTTTCTCTCTCAATCTATCTCTCCCTCTCTCTCCCTCCCTCTTTCTCTCTCAATCTCTCTCTCTCTCAATCTCTCTCCCCACCCCGTGTGTGTGTGTGTGTGTGTGTCTGTGTCTGTCTGTGTTTGTCTGTCTATCTGTGTGTGTCTGTATCTCTGTGTCTGTCTGTCTGTCTGTCTGTCTGTCTGTCTGTCTGTCTGACTGTCTGTCTGTCTGTGTGTGTCTGTATGTGTCTGTGTTGGCAGGGAGAAGAGGAATCTATACATATGCAGAGGGAGGGACATGGGGTTCTGCTAATAGAACTCTGGCCATGAAAGCCAAGTTGTCTTATTTCATTGATGTTTGTTTTCTTTATATCAGTGATCGAACACAAGCATCAGAAACCTGCAGATAGATCTGATCAAGACTTCGTTGTGTCCACAGGGTTAAAAATTAGTAGGTAACTGGTGATTTTAGTGAAACCATTTAATAAAGTGCTAGGGGAGAAAAATCAGGCTGAACATGGCTACAAATTGTGTGTGTGTGTGTGTGTGTGTGTGTGTTAAACTAATAAAGAGGTAGCAAGTGTCAGATACTCTTGAAAAAGAATTTGATGATGAGCAGAGGGGGAAAATAATCACTGAGAAGGCATGGAGAGTCAGAGGAGGTTTTGCTTTAATTCTGTTTTAATTTTTAGAGAAAGGCTAGAATTTGTATATCAGAGAAAGAATTTGGCTGAGAAGGAAAGAGAAGGGGGAAGGGAAGAAGAGAGAGGGAAAGAGGGGGAGTCAGAGAGACAGAAATGGAGAAGGGAGGGGAAAGGGAAGAAGAGAGGCAAGTGAAAGGGAGATGGAAAAGAGAGTGTGCATAGTATGAAGTGCATAGTGAATAAATAAATACACCATATAGACACCCCCTGGCAATGGGCAAAGAGACACACTTTGTTGGTAGTGTTGTTCTTATATCAGTCAGGGGCAAAGCAGGAGAGGGGAGACTCTAATTTAGCAAGGATTTTAAGGAAGGCAGACTAGGTCCAAGGTGAACTGATTGGGTTAGCCTTAAAGAGAAAGAGAGTACTCCATCTTCTAAAGCTGAGAATAGGAAAGATGCAAAGATCCTTGCAGTCTAACGGCTGCAGTCTTGGATTCTAGTCTCAGGTCTACCGTCAACCAGCTGTAACACATGTCCTTCTCTCTGGGCTTCTTGTTCATCATCTATACTCAAAGGGAAAGATTGCCTGGCTAGGCTCTCTTTTTGAAGGTGGCTGTGAGGGCGAAATGAAAGCAGGAGGGGTCAGTGGGTGGGGGAGTGTTTACAGACCTGAGGAGTCTTGCACAGGTGATCAAGAAAGCGAAAAGTGGATGGTGAGCAGAATGGACAGCTGTTTCTAGGATATAGCTTGATTTACCCATGTCTATTTTTCTGCATCTTGTGACAACAGAATCTACCGCCTGCTTTCTTCCTCATTCCCAGTCCCCACATGCTGCAAGTTCTCCAGAGGTCAGGCGTGGTGGGAGCTGAAGGTACAGTCTCAGCAGCTCTGTCTCGGATGATGAGCTGAGAAATCAAAGGTTCTTTGTTTGCTAAGGAAAGGGTTTTCTTTGCTTTTTCCTTCTCTTCAATAAATCTGTCTGCCTCCGCTGTTCCATGACGAGGCTGATTGGCCTTGCCCTTGGGACGTGCAACTCAGCATGGGAGAGGGAAATGCTGCGAAAGTTGGCACCTCCCTTTCCAATACATGTTTAATTCATCACTGCAAAGACTTGGATAAGTAAAACACTAAGCTCCTTCTGACCGGGCTTCCTGGAGAGAGGGATTCCAACAGCTTTTAAAGGAAATGTCAAACTGTTAAGGGTTCAGGCTTCAAGCAGCTTAATGCTTCACAATGTTTTGGAGTGAGCGGTCTTGTGGCTTCTTAATGCCAGGGTTATTTAGAATTGAAAATTACTGATTTGGATTGTCAATCTGGTAAACACAAGACAACCACAGCCAACACTGGAGAAACATTCATCCATTTTACTCATTGGTCTATAGCTTCTTCTTCAACAAGCCTTTTAGCCAGTTACTAGTCAATCAATGAATATGAATGAGCAAATGAGGCATCAACAATATGCTCAACTCAGTACAGACTCTGATGAAGCCCATATCAAGATAGATGAAGAAGAACAGTGTATGGACCCCCTGGCAATGGGCAAAGAGACACCTTGTTGCTGGTATGGTTCTTACACCAGTCAAGGACAGAGCAGAGAGCAATCCTTTGTTCATCCTAGCTTGATGCCTGAGTTGGTGTCCACAGCTGTCCTATGCCTAGGACCCATAAAAATCCAATCCAATCTAGACAGTACAGCATGGGAGGAGGAAGACAGACAGAAACTTTCATACCACCATGCCACCCACAGACAGACCTGCCATCCAGCACACTGTACAGGTGGGCCATAGACACCTGCTTGCCACCAAGTGCAACAGTATAAATGGAGGATGTCACTCAGGGGCTCTCCAGCAGTATGGCCAGCCTGCAGCAGGAGCCATGACAATGTGCAAGTATGTGGTGGTCAGGTGGGAGAGAAGTGGAGAAGTTTGAGCATAATGAAGAGAGATGGAACTGGAGACTCAAGGGTCAGCTTTCCCATACTCACACCCCTTGGGGCAGGCTCACTCACATGCTGCCTGGACAAGGTGTGGGGCCTGCTCTCCTAAGTGCTGCATCCACTGAGGGCCAGGGCCAGTTATGCACAGCCCATGGACATCCACATGGTTCCCAGTGGCTATCCTGACCAGGGACATCACCATGCTTTCTAGTGGTAATATGAGCCACAGACTGGCACCAAGCCCTGGCACTGTGTAACCACAGGCTCAGACATTTCCCTCAGTGGCAGCTCGGCTTTAGACACCACTTGTCCTGCCATGGGGTGGCACAGGTGTAGAGGTGATGACTTCCCACCACCCCTCACTACCTCTGGCAGTCAGGAAAGCTGCCCACAGAGTCATGAGCTCAAAAGAGCTAGCCCTGCCCATCGCTAGCTGCAGCACTCTGGAGAGCAGGCCCGGCACCTCATCTGGGTAGCACAGTAGAGCTGGCCCTTGTGGAGAGGTCACAGGTGAGCCAGTTGCCAAGAGTGAGAGCATGGGAGAGCTGGCCCCACCACTAGCTTGGTATGAGGTAGTGTGGTATGATGCTTTCCCCTCTCCTCCTCAACATCTGCAGTAGCCAGGAGAGCTGGTCCTGGGGACACGGCAGTGGAAGACCCAGCAGTACTGGTGAGCTACCCTGGTGTTGTAGATGAGAACCAGTGGGGTGATCAGCTCAGCTGCCATCCAGGCCCAGATGCGGAACTCTATATTGGCCCAACCAAAAATTTACATCACCTGCAAATGGTTGGGACAAGTGAAAGAGTCCATCCTGCTGATCCAAAGCCACAGGATCTCCGTGACACAGGGCAACAACAGGATAACCAGGAGGAGTCCCTATGAGGATCCAATATTGATGGTGTCACAGAAGCCAGAGATCTCAAAACAGACCAGTGACTCATTGCAATGAACATTTGCAAGTGAAGATGGTTGCAAGTGAAAAGGGATATACACACTGTGACATAGTACAATTTCCACGATGACATGTTTTCTATGCTTTGTTGTTGTTGTTGTTATTTATTTGTGTTTTATTTTGAGGGGGAGGTTACAAGGGCAAAGGGTAGATATGAGAGGATGGAGAGACAAATGGGACCGGGGTGCGTGTTGTAAAACTCACAAAGAATCAAATAAAGTTTAAAAGAGCCCCACTCAACCTCACTCCACTCCACTTCCCCCCCAAAACTGCATACTGTTATGGGCTCATTTATGCTCCTCTCCCGCTTCATAAATTAAAGCCTCAACTCCTAGTTCAGCAGATTGCAAGCGACAGGATTGAGTTTAGGTACTTTAGGTACTGAGTTAAGATGACAACCATCAGGTAGGCTCTAATCCAATATGGGTGGCATTCTTATATTACTAAGTGATTAGGACATAGACAGGAGTTATCAGACACTTCAGAAACAAAAGACAACTATATGAAACTAAAAGGAGACAGCATTATCTACAAGCAAAGCAGTGACCTCCTGAGAAACACACCCTGAAAAATTCCTAACCTTAAACATACAGTTTCCAGGAGTGTAAGAAGATACCTGTCTGTGGTTGAGCTTCTAGTCTGTAGAATTTTGCTAATAATATCTGGAAGTCTATAGATACATAGATGTTTTCCCCCAGATTTTTTAAAATCACCAATCACAATTAAAATGGGGTCAAGGGATATAGAAACAATTTTTTGGTTTTTTTCATCACCATGATTTAGAAGTTTCAGCCAGACCACACAGATGACACAAAAAAGGAGGATGTGATCCCTCTGTCCATACGCCATCTCTCTCCTTTCCTTACTCATGTGTCTTTTGCTCTTCTCAGCCTCGGGTTCTTGCCTCCATCAGGAAGATTCCGGTGACATTCTTTAGGTGCTGTTGGTTCTCTAAAGACTTCAGAACTGCCTGGGGTATCAGATGTAGAATGTAGTTCAGAGACCACATGCACCACTAATAATTCAGGCTCAATAGTCCTGAGCAGGACCTAGACAAGTACCCTTGAGTCTTATCATTGTGAGACAGGTATACAAAAAATATTGTTCATAATATCTATGCACAATTAAAATAGTAATAAAATAAATATACGGGAGCTGGAGAAAAAGTACCCTCATCAGGTAGTAACTACCTGTACCTGCAACTTCAGGTACAGGATCAAGGGGATCAGATACTGTCTTTTGGACTCTGCTAGCACACATCTCCACACACGTACACACTGTGCACACAACATGCACACACATAAAACTGAAAAAAGGAATGTCCATAGATAAAAATATATGAGTACTTCCTCCCCTGTCACAGTTCTCTCCTTCAGCGACAAGCCTTTACTGACTTTTACAGTATTCATCTCTTTGTTTTTCTTTATTGTTTGCTATATGCATTTGTGTCCCTGAACAAGAACAAAATCTTTTTTAGCTTGATTGCCTGCTGACTTCATATAATGTGTCACGCTGTGTATATTCTTTAGCAACAGAATCTTTAATTTAATTATGAAGCGTTGGTTCTCAGTAGTAAAGGGGTTTGGTAAAAGAGGAAAGAGAAGGTAGCTGGGAGTGTAGGAAGAAATTTCCATATGTCACATATACTACATCAGAGAGGAGGACCATATGTTACAAATGTTCAACTATGTGGTACAGATTATCACTTTATAGCTTCTTAGGTATGCGTTTTCAGGTGCCACAGTCAACTTGGTCCCATAATAGGTGTCAACTTAATCAACCAATGTTGAAAATATTAGAGTAGATTGAAACAGGAAAGACTTCCTGGAGAAAATGCAGCCCACGGTAGACCTTGACTGATGGGAAAACTGGAAATTGGGACAAGAAATAGAGGAGGTGTCAGTTTATGGCTAGAGTTTGCTTTAGAAAGAGAAAGCCAGGAGTACAAGGCAAATCGGGAATGCAGAAATGTGGATTGCCAGATTGGAGGGGGTGCGTGCCAACAAAAGCCTGGCAAAGGCTGGGGTTGCAGCTCAGTGGCAAGCATGTGCAAGGCCCTGGGTTCTATCCCTAGCACTACAAAAAAAGCCTGGTAAATCTAGTTCTTTTACAAAAGTACTGAGATTCCAGGGGATCCTATCTTGGGAACTAAGAAGGAAGGCACAGCTTGAGAAATTTAGGATGGGAGACCTTGAGAACATCAGAGCGGAGTCTTGTTGTAGAAAGTAAAGCATGAAAAAGTAGTCAGACAATAAGGCATCCAGGAGAATAGGGCAGCTAGAAACAAACAGGAAATGACGTCAGAGCAGTACTAGAGTTCCTTTCAGGTGTCCAAGACTCCATGCCATTCCTCTAGTTCTTCAGGAGTCCGTGGACTAGCTTCTTCCCTCTATGCTCAATCTACCTTTGTGAGCTGAATGTGAAATGGCCTCATGGGCTTACATGACTTAAAATGTGGTCTCGAGTTGATGACACTGGTTTGGAAGATTCTGCATCTTTTTGCGGGGGTTGACCTGTGCTAGAGGAAGTATCAATTGTAATACATTGCCAGGAATAGGATTTAACATTTTCAAACCTAACCCTACTTCTTAACTGTGCTGTCCTTCCTGGCTGTAGACAGACACAATGTGACTGACTAGTCATCTCACATTCTTGTTCACCAAGTCTTTCCTGACTCAGTAGACTGTCTTGCGTTATACTGTAAGCTAAAAAATAAAAATAAACTCCTCCTTCCTTAAGCTGCTTCTTCTCAAGTGTTTGGTCACAGCTATGAAAAAAGTAGTTAAGATAAGCACTCTTCTTCATCTCGACTCTGAGCTGAAGCACTCACTTCCTACCTCACTGAAGAGAGCGGAGTGACCTGAGAATTCCAACCCACCGCCATCATTACGCTCCTCTCTCTATCATTATCCTCGCCTTTCTGTTAGCTATGTTGGATGAATTATTCACTGTCAAAAGCTTCCACTGGTTCTCCAGATGTCATTCCAATCAGCTAGGATTGAGCTCATCTGAGAGCAAGAGCGATTCAAAATTATAGTGCAGGAAACGACAGCACTTAAGTTCTCATACATAAGAAGGAGGCAGTCTGAGGTTGGTATGATGACCCAGATCTACAAAGCCTTCAGGAGCCCAGGCTTCTCTCAGTTCATCACATCTCATGTGTATTGTCCTTGTCTTCCAGGTCCAAAACGGCATCTAGTGCAATCAAAATGTGGGCAGCAGGATGAAGAAGCAACAAAAGAAAGGACAAAGTGTGCATGCCAGCCGTCTGTCAAAGGAGGTTCCCAAGAGCAGGCACAGGATGCTTCTGCATACCTCTTACCAGTCAGAGGCAGTTATAAAGCCACATCCAGCGGCAAGAGGTATAATGTTTGTCCTAGAAAATGGCAAGGCTGGCTATGAATTGGGAATTTCATTGTTACGGAAGAGAAGACAGAGAAATCTACCGCACCATTAGTTCTTTCTCTCGTAATGACCTTATTTCTTTTCCATCTTAACACTTTCTACCAGTAATTCCTACTATCACATACACTGATTTTAGCATTTACTAACCCCAAATAAGCCGTATCTTAACACACATTAACAGCAAATATTCTCCAAAGAATTATATATACATGCAAACTCCTCTTCCTCACTTCCTATTCAGTCTCCGACCTACTCTAGGCTGGGTTCCATACCCATCAATCCACTGAAAACTCTCTTGTCACAATCCTCTAGAGACGTCTGTGTTGCCAAATCCAATTATCACACTTCTGTCCTGAATTTAATAGCCCTCTCAC